CTGCTGCTGCTGCTGTTGCTCCTGCTGCTGCTGCTGCTGCTGGTGCTGCTGCTGCCGCCGCCACCACGGTAATCACGGCCTGCTATTCTGCTTATTGCTACCTACTAATTACTACACTACCTCCTTATAGCCGTTGACTGCCGTAACTTACTGGCCTAAAATCAAAAGGTCTGAAAGGTTTTTATATACATGGCTTATCCTCTCCCGGCCAGTCGGAGTATGAGAGACACTTTCGCTGCTCACTACGACCAGTACTGCTGACCACTGCCACCACCGATAAAATCTCCAATAAAGTCATCCTGCGCTTCTGAAATTTGTGTAGCGCCTCACGACATTTTGGCCGGTAACCCTCCTTGGAGTGCATGGCCAGGGGTCGCCAGCAAGAGTTAGCTTAGACAACAGGGCGTAAGCCGACGAAAGTTCCGTGGCAATTCATTGGTGTATTTCGACGACCGTCGTGGCTTGCGCTGTTTACATAGCCGTTGTACCCGAAGTTCCGGATTTGCCGCACCGCTGTGCAGTCGCTGAACAGTGGGCTGGTTTACGATGCTGCACCCAGCACTCGACCGCAATGGTGGCCGATCGAGCTGGTGGCCTGTTGAGCGACACCAGCGGCGGGGTGCGAAGCAACTGCCGTCTGGGCCAGTTCGCCCTCAACTTTTCAATTGCAGACCTCCAGTCCAGCACATCCTTCGAACCCAACCCTCCGCGACGCTTGATTGATGCCGCAGCTAGCTCCCACCCCTGGACGCAGAAAAGTTGGACGGAGACAACGATACTCTTCTGATGCCGGCAGGTGGCGCGGTGCCACATGCTCAGGGTTGATAGTTCAGGATTTCTTGCCCAAACAGTGATAGCGGTGGTTCTAACGTCGGGTGTCAAGAGACTTGATAGGGTGGGCGTGCGGGGCGTGCGCGTGTGCGACAAAACCTTCCGTTTTGCGTGGCTCCCGCTGTGGCGCAGTGCACGCTCTGCGCCCACGTCCATTTATTTTTTAGCAGAGGATCGCGGTAAGGATGGCGGTTTGCACGGGTTTGCACAGGGTCTGTATATGAGGGAAAGGCACCGTGTTCCTGAATTTTGTCCGCCGTGCTCTCGAACCCGCCAGCACTTGAGGGAAGCATTGTGGTCATGCTCCTGAATCACACCAAGTACTCGGTGGTCCTGGCGAGTCTCCTCACTGTCCTCGTGGCCGTGGTCGTCATGACGTTCGTAGTGTTCTTTTATGGTGTGGGGATCTACGCCGACATAGTTCAGGCAGTCCGAAGCGCAAATAGGGTGATGATAACGGTGGTTTTCGACTTGACAAAGCGGCCCGGACATCATCCGGGTGCATTTCAGCCTAGAGGCGTCACATCAGAAGCAGGTGCCTGTTATGCCGATGCCATCCAAATCGAACGAACGGATCATGTCAGTTTCATCATGTTTGTGCGACCAGTTCCAGTTGCTAGCCTACGGAGTGCTGAAGCACTGCAAATCCACAACTCACAGCATCATGTTTTGTGCGCAGCTCTCGAGGTTTCTCAGTCCAGTACGTGGAAATCGAAGTGGGCTTGTTGCCGAAGTTCTGCTTGGTTACATAGAAACCTGAAGCACAGCAGGATTATCAGTGAGGACAGGTCCTTTATGTTAAGACCCGAGGTTCGGCTTGCCAACCGTCCGAGCCCGAGAGTGCGAGAGACTGTGTGCTCGCCAGAAGCCTCCTGATTCGAAGTTGCTGACAGCGCAGAGTAGAAGGTGACATGCTGTGGCAGGAATCGCACACCTGACCCATCTGGACATGGTTGAGCATTGTCCGCAATGCCATCGCGCTTGAAGTCCATGGTTCACTGATTTTCAGCGATACTAGTGATTTGGGAATTCAGTTGCAGACGTTGAGCTTAAATATCTTAAATTTCTGCCTCGGTGGCACTTGTGGTCAGAAAACTTGAGTACGCCGCAGTTTGAACCTCGCAGCGCGTATTTGGAAGTCTGTGATCTGTTTACATTGCGCGTGCGTGTTTCTGCAGCGCAATGGCAAGTGGCATCGGGAAGAGCATGCTTCCGCAGTTGGTGCTGAACTGCACTACATGCACGGGATCCCCGGCGCATCGGAAAGGAACTAGCACCCCACTCTCCACGCCTGCCGAGACGATTTCGGATTGGTTGGAGACCTCAGAGGAGGGCAAAGAGTTGAGGTCCGAAGTATCGATTTTCTAAAGAAACACCCTTGTCAAGTGCCTCCGAGCTCTAGCCAGGGCCCTCCTGTGCGCGAGAGCGCGCCTGGCAGCATGGCAAAACGGGTTTCGTTGCGAAAGGGCTGCATATACAGCTCATAGACCTTCGGCTTCTTCAGGATTTTCGGCGATTTTTAGAAGTCTCGCTATGCTTAGGGCTGGCTCAGATTCCTTTCCGTTGATATAGTATCAAGAACGTCAATACACAAGATGTGCTGAGAGCGTAGAGTGCAGACGTAGGCACGAACTACCAAAACCAGAAAGCTTCAGCAAGCCTCTTCGCGACTCTAAGCCCGGACTTCACACCGCAAGCCCGTGAAGACCTGGAGACCAAACCCCGAAAATTAGGTCCGCTCCTTCGCCGACATCCTTCGCGCAAAGGAGGCAGGGTCAGACCTGGAGGCACGCCGCCTCGCCTTCCGGGCGTAGGGCAGTTTTGTGTATCATTCCGGAAGGTTGGGATGTGCATTTTTGAGATTTCAGGTGCTGGTGCTTGGAATAGGCCCTTGGCCAATAAGCTCCCTTTGAGGACTTTGCCGCCAAAGTGCGGTCGGTGAAGGAGAGGCACAAGCACCAGTGCGCTTCCCAGTGTAACGGCAAAGTGTCCGTTTTCACCGAGCACACGTTGATGTTTTCGAGGGCTCGAAAAGTCGCAAGCCCTCGGTCGAGTGAGTTCATATTAGGCCTCAAATCGCAGATGTGCTGAGGGTCAAGCGGCTCACCGTGGGCATGAAAGACCTGAAGAGGCCAGGCCGGCCTGTGGGTACTGATGGCCCTTTTAACTTCACCCAGAATGACTTTTCATAAGTGTCTATCAAGCAGCGTGACCGTGTATGATAGGTACCTGTGAGTATGTCAATGATGTTGCTGGCGCTTGTGCGATGACTGCTGGGAGTGAAAAAGACATCAGCTCTTCACATGACGATGGCCATGGTGATTCGGATTGCCGTGGTTGTGACAATGATGATGCTGCGGAGGGTAAGGCAAGTCCGGACGAAACCTTAAATATCTTTTGGGGTTGGGGTGCCCAGTATGCTTGATGCCGCATTCCGTGATTCCTTGACGGGCTTGCTTTCAGGGCTTTCAACCTGGGGGCCCATCAGGCTGTCCGTTGAAGCCGGCGTTCCCAGGCACTGTCCAACATCCAAATGGGGTCCACCAAGCACCACAAGGCAACACGAGTGACGATGTGCATCGTCCAGCCCGAGATCTACATGGCCTTGATGCAAGTGCGAGCTCCTGCGAAGCCAGCGTACCTGAAGTCTCGAGAGACGTCCGTGGTAGAAGGATGCCACCCGATGGTATGCTCCTCCGTGTATGCAACAAGCGATATGGTTGTATACACGGAGGGGTTCAAAGGTGTGGTTCTTCCTCCCTATGTTCTCGTGCGGTCCAGTCTTTGGCACTGCTTCATGTCCAAATGGCCTGCCGTGAGTCACCAGATGACAGGAATGTGAATGAAGCAATGTCTGCATGTCTGCCTGCATGCATTTCTGCCCATGCCGGAAAGCCTGCCTGTGTCAGGCTGAAGATGGAAGCTGGCGAGAGCGAATCGGAGGCAAGAGAACCTTGGAAGTTAACATCCCTCTGCAATGAAAGCTCAACGAGACATCGTGACCGTACCTTCCCTTTAAGATGTCTTCTAATCAGCGCGCCATCGTGGGAGAGTTGGTTGAAGATCGCAAGCCTGCTAGGTTCCACCCGAACGCAACCAACAATCGCATACTATCGCAGGCAGTTGCTTGAAACTTGCACAAGCCAATCCTCCCGACAAAGAAGCAGTGCTCATTTGCAAATCGACGTGGCGCTTGAGTTGAAGTGCCAACCAGGCCGTGGAAGACATCGATACCTTCCTCGATCGCTTGTGCCCTAAGTTGGATGACGGTTGCACAGGTGTCAGGCACCCACAACTGGGAACTTCGAGCAACAGATCTGGAGACTGGGAGTCTAAGGCAGTGCACCCGCGTCTTGCGTGTTGAAGCTTTCATTTGTTTTTTGCCAGTGCTCACCGTGGCGGTCACCGTTGGGCAAGCGCGAAGGCTTCTGAACCTTTCGATTCGGCGGGGTGACGTCGAAGCCAAGCATGAAAGCCCAGAAGCCACAGCAAATGCGCAAGGTTTTGTGCTATCGCGGATCGGCATTGAGATGCTCAACTCCCAGCCACTGGTCAGCAAGTCTGGCGCGAGGCTTGCTGCTTACTTAGCTTTTCGGGCTCATGAGCCAGCGGGAAACGTGGGAAACATCAATCAAAATTCACTGCAGGAACGTTTCCATGCTGGCTCAATCCAGATGATCGATCCTTAAGCATAAGCCACAGCAGCGCCGACCACTTCATGGGAATGGCCTGAATTGTATCAAAGGGTGCTCTCCAGCCGCTGTGTTGACTAGGCTCGAAGCCCCTTGCCCAGCCCTGGCCTGTAAATGCTGAACCATCCATGCTAAAAGCCCTCAGCAAAGGTACCTGGCCTTGTTCACCAAGAACAAGGGCATTGCAGATCCCAACTGTGATCCTTGTGCCGGGAACTCGGCAGAGTCCACTTGGGTGAGGCTGACCAGCTTCAGCAGGGTTTGTGAGGGATGCTCGAGGCTTTAGTGAAACTTGGCCGTGGGGCGGTATTGCTTAAGGCTTATCAAACTAGTTTGGCTCTTGCGGTTTGGTGGGAGGACGACGACCAAGAGAAGGCTGTCAGGCCATTGCAGTCCACCCAGGCCGTGGCCAGGAAAGCTGCACAAGTGGCCCCGAGCCCAGTGATCCGGATTTCATGAATCGTGTTTCGTACTCTGCTTGCCATCGCATCGAAGCTCTCTGTGGCGAGGCACGGCGACTGGCAACGCAGGAGTTCGAGCCGAGCCTCCTTCCCGAGGTGCCAGGCTATTTCGCAATTTTTGCTGGGCTCTACACAGGGGAGGATTACTTCATATCTGTACAAGCAGAAAGCGCCTGCTTCAGGTTGCTGTCTTTCTTGTTTCCGCGACTGGCAACGCAGGTCCAAGTGACCTACCATGGGCTCCGGGATGCAGCAGACTCAGTGACAAGTCTGGAGATGTAAGTCTATAGTAAAATATATTTATAATGCGACAACATAACAGGATACAACATGAACGAACACGATGTAATGCAGCATACAGAACATAGCATTGTAATATAGCAAATGGAGCGTAGCAAACAAACGGGTGTGGCGTAATATGTAGCATCTAATATCATATATATAATAATATAGTGGTAGAATATGGTACGTACAATATAATATCAAATGAGGATCATATAGTATAATATAGAAAACTATAATTAATGATAGTTTCTAAAAGAACATAACAGAATATGATATGATATAATATGGTATAATATACTACATTATACTGTAATGTATCATGTTGTAATATAGTGTAATGTAATGTAATGTAATGTAGTGTAATGTAATGTAATGTAATGTAATGTAATGTAATGTAATGTAATACACTAACAGGATAGAGTACAATATGTTGTAATCTAGTGGAGGTCAGCATAGGCTGGAATATTGAACCATAACACATGTAGCATATCGTATCATGTAATGCGGTTTTAAGGTGATGCACTATATCATCTCCATAATAATACGGTGTAGTTCTTTCCATAAGATAAGGGTGTTACATATGCATTAGGTATCTTTCAACGTAGTGGCTATCGGAGAGGGAATCCAATCATTTTCTTTCACACAGTTCTTCTCCATCGTTGTGGTCTTGCTACATGATACTGTTCCCTTTTTGTGACTTTCATCCGACTTTCGCGATGTCGTGTCGTTCAGCTTGCAGGCATATAGCGTGAAAGAGAAGCAACTAGGACCTCGTTTATGATCCGAAGCCAGGCAGGGACGCACAGCACAGTGAGCACGACAGATACCTGACTTTTCAAGCCCGTCGATTCGACAATCATTTTGCGATGCCAAGTCGCTACTCCTGCAAAGACATTTTGACTCCGTGCCACCGAAACATGACAAAGCTTCCTATGCCAGGTCGCAGGACCACACCTCGCAATCTTGCAAGCTTCCGTTTCGCAACTAAGGTCCGCACCATCCCGCTCGTGCCTTCTTACCTGTGGCGCCCTTGGTTTTGTGCGCGCTGGCATACATAGGGCTGGGCCGTCCGCCGAGGATGTACATACTTCTGGAGCTGCTGAAAAACAGCAGGTGGCCCCAGAGAGTGTAGGCACAGTGCTTTGGCGATGTGCCTGCAAGCGAAGTCGCAGCATCAAGCAACAGCCTGCGCTGAGCACCTTTGTGCCGTTGCAGAGCAATCTAGCTAGGTCTCATCGCTTTTGTGAGTGTTATGTGCCCCATCGCCTGACGCAGTGAACGACAACTGCATGAGCGAAAGCGGGGTCACTCCGTTGTATTCCCCGGCCCAAGCACTATTGCCCGCACGGTTGACGCCTCGGGGCAGTTGTGGCATTTTCACCGATGAGGCTTCCGGGCCGTTGCGGAGCACCACAAGACCACGAAGTCGGCAGACACCCCGTGCGACCCCCGTGTTTAAGGTTCAGGAGCTCTTCTTTTTTTGGGTGATCTGTGATTTGTTAGCTGAGCGGTGGAGTCAGCTCACGAAGCTGCGAGAAGTTGCAAGATTCTCAGGGTCTAGATTCTAGGTTCTAAGCTCTAGACCCCAACACCAGAGCCAACTCCGTCCCATCGCCGAAAGCCAGAGCCAGGGTGGTTCCCATCGTGATTCGAGTGGCAAGCGATGAAACTCAAATAGTGCCGGTGCCCAAATGCTGAGCCGCTGATTGTCGCAAAGCGCTGACATCGGGTTCAGTATCTGTCGGCACATGTCCGTACTTTGCCTATACGCGTACAGGCTGCATCCAGCACACCGCCTCAGGGTTTCAGGAGACAGCTTGGAAGCCATGAGCACCACCCCTACAGTCCCGCGAAGGCTTGACATTTTCGATCGTGGTGGTGGCATTCCCTTTGTGCAGCCCGCCCGCAACAGCTGACAGTGCCTTAGCCACGGCGCAGGGGGTTCGTGTTACGTAGTCGCGCAGCTGGAACTTGTGGAAGACACCGTGTGAAATTTATCGGGGTGCCATGTCAAAGACCAGTTGCTGTTGACCTGCCATGTGCACCCTGGGATACTCTCGGCTTGTACGGATTAATGTGGGATGCATGGCCAAGGGTCTTATCCAAATCTGCGAAGCCCCACCCCTCCCCATACCATTGTTTGCTTCACTTCAGGGGCTCGCCTGATCTGTGCATGGTGTTTGGTCTTCAACCGATCTTGCTTGTCTTTCCTCTCGACGGGCCCTATGATGCCGCAGGCAGCAGCAGAAGATCTGGAGCTACATGTACTCCACCAGGAGGACGCCAGATGCAGCTTCGGTGAAGCTTTCGACTCTGAAGGGTCGGTGCCAACCTGACGGGCAGGTGCCCCCTGGGGCCCCCTTTCCTTGGTCAAGGCTTTGGCCCCCGGACCCGTCCAGGACGTTGCCGCCCGGAGCTGAAAGCGACGAGGAGGCACTGGGCACCGCTTTTTAGTCACGGGCCGACGAGAAGTTCCCTTAGCTCCATAGCGTCACTCTTGAGTCTCTAGAATAGCGGCCGAGCAACTTGTCGAGCTGTGCACACCTGCCTGGTTGGGATGGGGGCTTGCGTTCCGATCCTGATCGCCCATCCTGCCGGTAATCATCGGCTGGCGTTGGCTTCACCGTCAGTCCAAGTCCAAGGCTACGCAGCCAAAACTTCCTCAGTATGTTAGTATGCTTCACTCTTATGTAATTCCACCCAACTCCCTCATCTCCCTCACAACTGACAGGCCACGCCGCTTGCGGGGTTTGGAGTGGGCTTACCCTTGTCCCGGCTCTATGCCGAGTGCTCCCGGAAAAATGCCAACTCTGCGGAGCCGGTGAGTGAAGGCATGATCAAGGAATAGTTGTAGGAAGTTTGGGGTATGCTGAGTTCTGAGTTCGGACCGTGTCTGCAAAAGGGCTCATTAGGGCTCGAGGCCTTGGACCTGCGCAAAGTTCGCAGATCTTTCGAGTTTCACCAAGGTAGGAGGGGCAATATGCGGTGTCTGAGAAGTGTTGAGCTTAGAGGCTTCGGAGGTCAGAACAAAGTGAGGCCATGATGGTGAATGATGGTCAGCTATTAGCCATAAAGTTATGGCCTGCTGCCTTGATTCCCTGTAGTGCCACGATTACCGTCATTGTTCCGAAGTGTTGAGCCGTGATTGCAGTTCCAAGCTGCCCTTGCATCCCTTGCCACAATGGCAGGGCAGATGGTCACCTTGATGGCAGCTGCTGCTTTCCTCTGGCTCTGGAGCACTGCACGGTATCCGCTGGAACAGTTCCCTCCCCCGGAGCACCGGAGATCTTTTGGTCTCCGCGAGTCGGGCACGTCCAACTCCCTGCTTGAGAAGCTACGGCCATGCCTTCTGACTGAGATTTCGCGGTGTCTGCACCTTGCGGTGTCGTGCCTGGTGCCGATCCTCGAAGGCGCAAGGTGGGCCTTTTTGGAGGCACCTTGGGTCGGAGCTGGTGGCCTCGTGTGCATAGCGGTCGTTGCAGCGATGGCGTTTAAAGCACGTGCATGCCTGAGTGACCCCAACGTGCGAGAATGGGAGTACGAGCTCCTTGCACGCACTGAGCCTGCGCTAGTCCCGGATGCATCCTTCAAAGAAATCTTAGGAAAGTGGGAAACCAAAGCTCGCATCGCATTGACTGGAGTTCTTTGGGTCGCCGATGTTTTCTCAGACATCTATGTAGCTGTGACATACTGCCGAAATGGCCTTTTTGTCTTTGGAGGGCTCCTCGTCGCCATCACGCTCGGATCTGGTGTTGTCGGCTTCCTCCAGGCGCGAAATAGCTGGAAGCTGGCGGAATTCGAAGACGAAGTGAACTTCAGCCAGCGGCGCAACGAGAGAGGGGAGCCACGGCCGGGGCGGTGGGAGCTCCTGCTCTACATCTTGCAAGTGCAACCACTCAAAGTGGCTTACACCAGCTTCATGCAGGGGGAGGAGACGAGAGAGCTGGTGCGCGAGAAAGTGCTGGCGAATCTTGCCGAAAGTGTGCCTAGCGCAGTACTGCAGGCATATGCGCTCGCGGTTCAAGGGGCACTACGAAAAGGCAACTTGACGATTCTCCTGATATCTCTGGCCATATCGCTATGTTCAATGTCGGATGCCGCCAACAAGGGCTACCGATATCTTTGCGCGGACGATAAGACGGAGAAGTGTGTGGCACCTGCACCTGTCCTACTGGCCTGGCGCTGTGCCGACGTTGGCGCCCGAATCTGTGGGTGGGCTCTCCTTGGCATGGCCCTGCGGCCAGTGGATGCCTCGAAGCACGGCATCCAACAACCGCTGCTGCCCATCTGGATGCTGCTTGAGGCTGCGGCCTGCGTGCTGATCTATAAAGCCATTTTCTACAAGGCCTGGGAGGATCTGTACCAGCCGCAGGAGATGATGGAAATGCTCCTCACCTTCGTGACGGTGCCGTGGCCATGCTTCAAGCAAGCACTACTACGAAGACAACTGCGGCTGCAACGCGTGGTGCTGCTGGGCCGCAGCATCGCCACCACCGGAACGGTGGTAGCCGTCGCTATAAAGTACGGCAGTGTCGTCCCAAATGGTGTTTGTCCGCTCGCTTTGCGCCCGGCATTAGAAGCCATGGCCACCGCGGCTTTGGCCTTCGCCTTCGCCATGGTGCTGGGTGCTGTGATCTGGGAAGCACTTCTCTGTCGCGGCCAGTGCCTCTTCCCCGTAGTGCCAGGTCTCCGGAGTGGCCCCCTGCATGTATCCGTGCGTTTGGGGAACTTGAGCAGCGTGCAAAGGTTCTTGGCCGATGCGATTGCTGAGGCAGAGACTGAGGATCAAAGTGCACATTCCGGAAATGGTGAATGCAGCGGACCACCTTCGCACGTGCTAGCTGCACATGAAGCTGCGTGTAGTGGCGAGGTGGCCATATTTTGCTACTTGCTCAGCCAGAACCCGGCTGTTGACGAAATGGATGACGATGGACTTCTCCCCATCCACCATGCTGCCAAGTCTGGTATGGTCGAGGTGCTGAAAGTCTTTTCGGAGGACAAGGACATGACTCTGAGCGCCGTGGACAAGAATGGATGCACCGCTGCACACCATGCCGCGGCGGCTGGCCACCTTGAGGTACTAAAACTGCTGAAGGCACAGAAAGAGGACTTGAATGCCCTCGACAAGGAAGGCAACACACCGGTGCACTACGCAGCGCAGGGTGGCCATGTGGAGGCTCTGCGCGCACTGGAAGGGGAGGCCCCGAAGCTGGATGCTCAGAACAAGAGGAAGCAAACCCCGGCCCATTGGGCCGCACAAGCGGGCCGCATCAGCGTCCTGAAGGTTCTGCAGGATGTCGGCGTGCCGCTGGCCAGCGCCGACGTGGACAAGCAAACGCCGGCCTTGCTCGCAGCGACTTACGGTCACGTGGAAGCCTTACAGCTCCTGCTCAAGGCATCTACCGACAGTACGGGCAGCACGGTGGCCTTCGTGGCAGCAAAGAGTGGATTACTCGACGCCCTGAAAGTGTTGCACGAGGCCCGGGCGGAGCTCCGTGCACCCAACAGAGATGGCCACACACCTGCCTACGAGGCCGCTAGGTTTGGCCACGCAGACGTTTTGAAGTTTCTGCTGCACGCTGGCGCCGACCCGTACGCGAAGACGCACGCAGGGGGGACTCTGGCCCATGCAGCCGCGCGTGGAGGGAATGTGGAGGTCCTGCAGTTGGTCCTGAAGGCCAAGCCTAAGGTTGAACTGGAAGCCGCAGACAAGAGGGGCTGGACGGCAGTATCCATTTGCGCGCACAAGAACCGCCAAGAAGCGCTGCGCCTTCTTTGCGAGGCTCGGGCGAACTTGACCAGTGCGATTCTGCAGGAGGCCAAGATTCTGCAGGAGGCCAAGATTGAGCCCAAAGACCTTGAGGACAGAGCGGATTCCGGCTACGAAACATTGTTGCGCTTTCTGTTCGAGGCTCGGGCGAACCTGACCACGCCTATTGAGACTTCGAAGAACGGCCGTTCACCAATACATTTTGCTGCCAAAGCTGGCCATAAGAAGGCAATGCGTGTTTTGCTGGAGGCCAGGGTGGATCTGGAAGCCGCAGACAAGGATGGCTGGACGGCTGCGTCCATATCTGCAAGCAAAGGCTACGCAACGGTGCTGCGCGACCTGTTCGAGGCTCGGGCAAACCTGGCGACTGCCGCTGAGACCTCGAAGGATCATCGTGCTCCGATACATTTTGCAGCCCAAGGAGGCCATGTGAAGGCATTAGATGTTCTTTTGCAGGCAAGAGCGGACCCGCGGGTCTCAGACATCCATGACGAGACCCCGATCAAACTTGCCCAGCAAGGCCGACACGATCAGGCCCTCCGCCTGCTGGGAGAATCGGGGCACGACAGCTCCAGAACACTTGGGCCACAAGTGTGGGGCTTCGAACTTCCCTTCGGACGCCTTGCGCCCGCTGAAGACTACTGGCTCCCGCTGCCTCGCTGGCGGGGCTTGCGCGAGTTGTGGACCTCGCCCGAAGCCTCCCCCACTGCACAGGCCGAGGTTCAATCAGATGCTGGTGAGGAAGACTTGGTGCACCGTCCCCGAAGCCTCAAAGCAGCAGCTTCAGCAGAGTTCTGAGACTAGGCTCGATCGCCGCCTCGTACTCTCGAGTTGGAGTGGCAAAACAACAACCCCTGAGCGCTGCATGAGCCACAAGCCACAAGCGTCGAACCAAGAGTCTATCAGAGCGATGCGTCAGGTACATTGGAGGGTCCTTGCAGCTCGTCAGTATGCCGCCCGGCCGGGTTCAGCCGCAACGGTAGCATTGTTTGCAGCGCTCGCATTTAAGAAGTGAAGGTTGGACCGGCCACGGCCATGAAGCTCAGAATGAACACGGTCAGAGCGAAGTTTGTTTTCTAACCCGCGCTTGTGCAGCTTCTTTAGATGAGCCTGGCCAGCAAGCCACCGGCCCCCAGGACTGTCTTGAACCGATCTGAAAGTGATGAGAACCGAGGCCGAACTTCGGCACGTGCTTTGGCATGCAACAAGTTCTTGGAACTGGGGTCATGGGCGCCGAAAGCTCGCAGCTCGCTGGAAGGCATGCTTTTCTTTTCCTACAGCGCTGTAGCAGCCGCAAGGTGCGACCGCTGGGAGGTTTGCTGTGGGCGGATTTGGGGCAACCGTCAGATCATACAGGTAAATAGGAAGTATGTACGTAGGAATGTATATAAGTCTAGGTGTGTTTGTATGTACATATATTGTATGTACGTAGGTCATGTGCAGATTGTCTAGTCTAGTTGTATACAATGTGAACATGTGTAGAATGTGTATTTGTATGTCTGTCTGTCTGCCTGCCTGCCTGCCTGCCTGCCTGGCTGTCCGTCTGTCTGTTTGTCTGTGTGTCCGTATGCCTGTCAGTAGGTGTGTAACGTATGTATGTAATGTATATGTATGCATCTGTATAGCTGTGGAGCAGGGGCTCCTGCTATTGGGGAAACAAGATTTACTGAAGCAAGTTATGCCAAGACAGTCTATTTTGTTCGTTTGAACCGTCTTTCCAAGCCGCGGCTTGAGATTCTGCCCGACAAGAATGTGGAAGCTGGATCCGAAGCCGAATCGGGGAGATGCATGCCTCGAGGCTTGTGTGCAAGCCCCATTTTTGCCTAGCAGATCCTAGCAAATGCTTGTAAGCCAGCGGCTTGTCGCGAAGGAAGGCATGCCAACCTACGTGAACTGGCTGCGGAAGCGATGTCCTCAGACAAGCGCACTTCTCCTAAACGGACGGCCAGCTAAGCTAGAAATTATTGGTATTGAAGGGAACGAATGCATCATGGCATTGCGCGCAAACGTGGCCACCGCCGCCCCCTGTCATCACCACGAGCAACCCCCATCAGCGGCATCATCATCACCTGATAACCGACATGCAAAAGGTTACACGTGCAGGCGTTGTAGCGCGTCGGATTGTTCGTCACCAGAATCGGCCCGGAATGTGTGCGAACCAGGGGAAGACAGAGTTTGCGTGTTGTCAGAGCAAAAGCCGAAGCACCCTACTTCAAAGGAACCTAGTAATACCTCGAAACCCGCATCCAACCCTGTAATTCTCTTCCCTCAGGCGCCACCTTCTCGAGGAGCTCTTGGACTTGGAAGCAAGGAAGCGCCCGGTGCCCGGCTAGCGAAGGTCGTTGCGTGTCTTCCACGTTGTAACTGTATCCCGCGACACAGTAAACGTGTCGTTTCGAATGGCTTATTGTGGAGAACTTGCATGGTGTAGATGACCAGACGGCCAAGGAACTAATCGTTTGTTAGTAGTGCTAAGCTTTACCTTCTGTACCAGAAGGTATCTCGATATCGATATATATATATATATATGGCATCCCCTCAGTTGTCTACCGTTTTGGGTGGGTTTGAAGGTGGTACCCATGAGGGAGAGAGTACTCTGTAGTCACAGGCAGACTCCAGGCAGGTTTAGGGCTTTGGTTTCCGGGCAATGGGAACGGGAGTCAGGCGGTTTCACTGAATGAGCCTATGCTCTTTCAGTCCTGAGGCCTCAGTAAAGCCTCAGTAACAATCCAAGATTCAAGATCTCGGGAAAAGTTTCTCTGCGGCTTCCCAGTGATCCCAGTGTTCTGAGTTGTAAATCGCTCTGTCTCAGGGGCGGCGGCGGAGATTGAGGATTACGCGGAGGCGTTCGGGGTTTTGGGGAGGCTCCTCAAAACAAGCTTCACGGCTCTTACTACTGCCGATACAGCATGTCGCACCAGCACCGCCACCACCACCATCAACACAATCCATATCATCATCAGCACCATCACCATCAGCACCATTGCAAAAGAGTGAGCAGCCACCACCGATCACCCCGTCACTGGACACTTATGAGCGTCAGGTATCTGGCTACATGACAGACTTTGCAGCTCTAAGTCTACAGTGCTACCAGTTTCGGCAAGGTTTCCTGCCACATCAAAGTCGCAGGGTTTGTGTCCTGTGCAGTGAATACACTGCATGGCATCTCCACGCGAAAGAGAGTGGACACCTAATGACCTGGAAACGGGAATTCATGGGGTGAAGCTGCAGCCAAGGCTCGAAATTAGGGACTCGCCCCCCTCCGAACTCCGTGCTGGAGTCAGTAGCTGGGGAATGGCGAGATCATAGCTGCGGCTCAGCGCAAGCAATATCTTGTCCTTGGGTGAATCCTCAAACTTGTGGGCCCCCGCCGTTCCAAGCCTTGGACATCTGTACATGCGGGCTTCAGGGACCAACGTTGGGTAATGGCACCTTAGAGCATCGTAAGATGTGTTACTTTTGAAGTCCTGCTCCATGCATGCTGAACCTTGGGAAGCTACCTGTCGTTGTGCCACCTTTCGTTTTCTGCCTTTGATCTCAACGGCAAGCCTCGACATGTTTGCATTCACCGCTCTTGCCAACAGTTTTAAAGATTGTTTTAGCGCCCGGACACCACCCTTAAGTCAGAAGTGATTGCGCACTAGACTTTGTAGTTGATGTATCTAGTTGGACACAAGAGGCCTCGCTTGGCGGAGTCCGAGTTGCGAGGGCGTAATGTCTCTGACTTTTCTGGTTTGAATGATGGCGGTGGTGCTAGAACGAATAATACGGCAAAATGCTTGACGTGCTTGAAGTGTTCTATGATTTCTGCCATGCGCTCGTAGTTTAAATCCGGACGTGGTGCGGTTCAAGTGCCGTTTTTCTGAGGCACCGCCGATGGTCCTTCGGCTCCGGGGTGTAGCTTTGCTGTCTCTCCTGTGCTCCTGTGCAGCTCACGAGGCCGGTCCAGGTTTGAGCCTAAGTAGATATAAAACGGATACATGGACCCTTAGAGACTAGAAACTTATGAAAGTACATGTTTACAGTAGAAGCTACTCACAACCCTAGTCGTGTTCCAGATGAGCTCGAGGTATAAGCGCCCCTGTTAGGCTTCGGGCTTCGGGAGCTGCGTGCGAGTGTGAGGTTTGCAACCTTGATCATAATCTGATGGCGTGAAGGGACTTGAGGGAGGTTCGTTTGTCATATCAGATGGCGGGCCCAGGCCGGAAGTGCCATGTCAGGCCATCAGGAAGTCTCACGTGCACATTTTTGTCCGTGGTTCCTTGCAGGACGGCTTGGCAAATTCGTCCTCGGACCCGGCATGCCATGCTCCGAACGCCAACGGCGTGAAAGACCGGCGCATGGCCGGCAACCTCTTGAATTCAGCGTCTTGGCACACAGATCTTGAGGCATGTTATACTGCAGCGGGTCGTGATAATTTCCATGGCGTGGGGCTGGGGCATGTGCGAGACGCCGAGCTCAGGCGCCGCTGCTTCTGCAGCGACCGGGTGCCCATGTCAGCCTCCTTCCTTCTAATGGAAGCTTGGAAAACGCCACCAGGCGAGGCCTGTGACAGATGTCCTGGATTCGGCACCGCACCGTTTTGCCCGGCTCGTCAGGCAGAGCTGGCGCAGATGGGCTCACGCAGCACCGTCAGCAGGCACTCCCTGACAGCATACTGAGTTTCGAACGTGGGAGTCCATGTGCTAAAGGAATTAAACCCAAGGAAGCGCTCACTGGTAGCCTCCAAAGTGCCCGCTGCGCAGTCCGTGAGGAGGAATTTCAGCAGGCCTCATGACTTGTCCTGCAGCACCAGGCGGCATCTTCGACATCACACGCCCGCTTCATCTCGAGTTTTGGGCACCAACAGCGCCGTGGCTGCGTTTGTTTGCTTCTGTCTTCGAAATGGACTGGCAGAGCATTGTACCATTTTAACATGCCTTCTGATGCGAGACTCGCCTGTCACTCTGACTCGGGTAAATTATGTTGGTCTTGCAGATGTCCGATCTGGAAGCCTTATAGACCTGCAGCAGGGGACAATGTTGTAGGCGTGTAGCATCCAGGCCTCTTTGGCCGATGTGGGACCCACCGGGATCCACCAGTTCTTCAACTCGGCTTCTCGGGCTTTGCTGTCGTGTTTGGGTTTTTTTGCAGTTTGGAGCTTGACTTTATCATCGGATCAGTGGGTAGAAACATCTGAAGAGAGCCCGTCGTTTGGAGGCGGGGTTCGAGGCGCCAGGTTGAGTTCTGACACGATGACTATGACGGCAGGATTGAGGCAGTGGCGAACAGTAATTAGGATGCTGGTGTTTCGAGGCAACCGGTTTCCTTTCAGTCTTAGAGAGTTGCGTTCCATGAGAGCTTTAAGCCCACGTGTGAATTTGAGTTTGCTTCTGAAGGCTCTGATGCTGGACTGGTGCCTCTTCTTGGTGATGGCGCTGGCAGCGGCAGCCTGGCGAAGGGTTGCTGGCAGCAAAAGCCTTGTGGCGGCCCTGGTGGGTGCCTGGGCTCGAACTCACTCAACTTTAATTGGGACGTCTGACCATGCCGTTCACGACTAAACTGACTAGAAATCTTTTCGGATGTCGAAAAGCACGAACTCCGACTGCAGCCGCTTCGATTCGGTAGACTAGAGGTGATTGTTGATGTTAAAGGCCTCGGCCAGATCTAGGCACAACACTTCTGGAGTTGTTGTGCGCATGCCTGGCTAGAGCTTGCATCCAGGGCTGGAATAAGGGTTAGCACGTGGTGCTTTCGAGTTTCGAGGAGGTTTGTTCGTGACTACATTATAACGGGCCCTCCAACCTAGGATTAAACCTTCGCCCGATCAACCATGAAAGACTTCCAAAGCTGCTATTTAATCTATTTCCAGAGTCTCAGTGTTGCAGGTCTTTGGCATGTGAAGGGCCATGTGCTGTGTACCTAGTTCCCCCAGCCTGAATTCTGAATGCCCTGACTTCGTTGACTGCTGAAGCTAGAAGGGTGGATTTCACTGGGCGCTGTCTACGCTGTGGCAGTATTTGCAGCTCGGAGCAAATGTTGCCAACGGTGTTTGTGACTTGAGACAGGCAAGTTTTGTGTCTGTGCTGGAGCGGGGCTTTGTCTCTGAGCCAGGATTCGAGCAAGAGCTGTGCCTAGGAAGAAGTACTTGTCGACGCAGACTACAGTTGTACAGGGTGAAAGGGGGAGGGAAAGAGAGAGAGAGAGAGAGAGGCGTAGGGGGATTTCCCCTTGCGCCAGAGCCCTGGCGAAAGAAAGAGAGAGACAGACATGGAGGCAACTCCCCGCCACAGGGAGCCTGCAAGCTGACTCTTGGGCTGAGTTGAAGAAGACAGACGCATGCCGCGTGGGGGGAGGTTTGCTTACTGGTAGGCTCCTCTAAGGCCGCAAGCAAGCAAGAGAGAAAGAGAGAGAGAGAGAGACAGACAGACCGACCGACCGACCGATGGACGGACGGACGGACGGACGGATGGACACACGAAGGAAAGATGCCCTCTGTCACACACACTCACAGGCATACCCCCTTAGAAAAGCCTCAACACACAAGCGGTGGCTTTGCACGCTGAACCGCGAAATAGTGACCAGCAGGGCTTCAGGCACAACCTTGGATTCCTGAGCACACATCGGACTACGTGCTTTGCATTACTCTTAGAAGCCGCCTTCCGACCACTGCTCGAACTTCACTAGAGCCATCAATGTGGAGGCCGTGCGCGGCCCTCACCATGGATCAAACTGGCTGGCGGGCTATCTCTTGGAGTTAATCTTCCTCACAGAGCACCTCGCCTTTGAGAACATCTCTATAGCTTTGGGTTTAGGTTCGGTAATTACTCTGCTGGTGGCCGTGGCGTTGGGATTCGGCTCCTGCTGTGCAGCTGCCGCAGTGTCTGCATGCAAGCGCTACATTTTCGGAATCTTCAAGTGGAGGCAAGCGAAATCAGACCATACTGCACCGCCGAGGAACGTGTTCGTCTTCCATGCCATCGCAGAGGCCTTCCAGCTTTCGCGGGCCGCAGTGTCTTGTCAAAGCAGATAGATTGAGAAGGTTTGGCGAGTTCGGAGTCTTCTAGATTCTAGAAACCCGGAATGACTGCCTGGTGTTTCTCACATCAGCTGTCTCGGTTCGAGGAACCACAGCAACCCCAGCTACTGCATGTATTCTAGCCACCTCCGCAGTACTTGTCGCACCTTCCATGCAAGGTCTCGGGCTGCCTGACTGTGGTGGCTTGGGGTCAGGTCCTCTTCGATGCCGCCGCTGGCTTGACATTTGGATCGAAGGTCGCTTCTAGGGGCCGGTGTCGGCTCTTGGAAAAAGCTCCGGGAGGTCTTGAGGCCGATGTGTTACTATCATTACTATTATTACTGTTCTTACTATTCTAACTATTGTTACTATTAATAATTACTATGATCATTAGTATTATTATTAGGAGGCCGATGTGTTTAGAGACAAGACAAGGTCTTCTTCATGGGCCTGGCCGGGTGGCTCAGATCCTGGAGACCTGGCCTCGATGCGGTTTGGTGGTTTCAAAGTAGCACCTACTGTATATTATTTTGGGGATTCCTTACTAAGGAATCAGTATAATAATACGATAATTATACTCTAATATACCTAAAACCCTGTTCTAATTATGAAGGCCAAAACCTCATCATCCTGCAATGCAGCCCCGGATGCAAAAGAGATGTCATGTCATCAGCCGAGGGAGCTGATAAGTTGTAGCTGCTATCAACCTGTTGCTGTCACAGCTATCCAGGGACCGTTATTCTGCTCGTTCCTGCTGCCAGTTTCTAGCGGAAGCCAACCATGCAATCGAGAAATGGACTACCGCACAGCAAGGAATGCAATCGTCTGTCTGTCTGTTCTTGCCTGT